TGTTGATATCCAGTTATGCCAGCACCATCTGTTAAATATGCTTAATTTTTTCCATTTGATATTTTTTGCTTCTTTGTCAAAAATCAGGTGTTCAAAGATGTATGGATTAATATCCAGGTCTTTGATTCAGTTCTATTTGTCCTCCTGTCTGTTCTTATGCCACTACCAGGCTGTTTTCAGTACTGTGGCTCTGTAGTAGAGTTTGAAGTTAGGGATTGTGATGCCTCCAGAAGTTCTTTTATTGTACAGGATTGTTTTGACTATCCTAGGCTTTTTCCTTTTCCATATGAAGTTGAATACCATTCTTTCGAGGTCTCTGAAGAATTTTGCTGAGATTTTGATGGGCATTGCATTTAATTGGTAGATTGCTTTTGGTAATATTGCCATTTTTACTATGTTAATTCTGCCTACCCAAGAGCATAGGAGATCTTTCCACTTTCTGGTGTCTTCTTCAATTTCTTTTTTCAAGGATTTATAGTTCATGTCGTACAAGTCTTCCACTTGTTTGGTTAAAGTTACTCTGAGATATGTTATGCTGTTTGTGGCTATTATGAAGGGTGTTGTTTCTCTGATTTCTTCCCCAACCCTTTTATCATCTGTGTGCAGGAGGGCTACTGATATTTTTTTAGTTAATCTTGTATTCTGCTACATTACTAAAAGTGTTTATGAGTTGTAGAAGCTCCTTGGTAGAATTTTTGGGATAGGTTATGTAAACTATCATATCATCAGCAAACAGTGAGAGTTTGGCTTCTTCTTTTCCGATTTGTATCCCCTTGATCTCCATTTGGTGTCTTATTACTCTATCTAGGACCTCAAGAGCTATATTGAATAGATATGGAAAGAGTGGACATCCTTGTCTTGTTGCTGATTTCAGTGGAATTGCTGGGAGTTTCTCTCCATTTAGTTTGATGTTAGCTATTGACTTTCTGTATATTGTCTTTATTGTGATTAGGTATGTTCCTTGTATCCCTGCTCTCTCCAAGACCTTCATCATGAAGGGATGTTGTATTTTGTCGAAAGCTTTTTCGGCATCTAATGAGATGATAATGTGGTTTTTATTTTTCAGTTTGTTTATATGGTGAATTATGTTGACAGATTTTTGTATGTTGAACCATCCATGCATCTCTGGGATGAAGCTGACTTGATCATGGTGAACGATGGTTCTGATGTGCTCTTGGATTTGATTTGCCAGTATTTTATTTAGTATTTTTGCATCAATGTTCATGAGTGAGATTGGTCTGCAATTCTCTTTCTTAGTAATGTTTTTGTGTGGTTTGTGTATCAGGGTATTTGTAGCCTCATAAAAAGAGTTTGGCAATGTTCCTTCTGTTTTTATTGTGTGGAACAATTTGAGGAGTTTTGGTATTAAGTTCTTCTTTAAAAGTCTTGTGGAATTCTGAGTTAAAACCATTTGGTCCTGGGCTTTTTTTGGCTGGGAGACATTTGATGACTGTTTCTATTTCTTCAGCAGTTATAGGTCTGTTTAATTTGCTTATCTGGTCTTGATTTAATTTTGGTAAGTGATATTTATCCAGAAAGTTGTCCATTTCCTTTAAGTTTTCCAATTTTGTAGAGTACAAGTTTTCGAAATATGACCTGATGATTCTCTGGATTTCCTCTGTGTCTGTTGTTATGTCCCCCTTTTCATTTCTGATTTTGTTAATTTGGTTATTCTCTCTCTCTGCCTTTTGGTTAGTTTGGATAAAGGTTTGTCGATTTTGCTGATTTTCTCAAAGAACTAACGAACCAACTCTTTGTCTCATTGATTCTTTGTATTGTTTTCTTTGTTTCTATTTTGTTGATTTCAGATCTCACTTTGATTATTTCCTGCCATCTAGTTCTCTTAAGTGAATTTGCTTCTTTTTATTCTAAAGTTTTCAAATGTTCTGTTAATTCACTAGTGTGGGATTTTTCTCAGCTTCTTTATGTAGGCATTTAGTGCTATGAACTTTCCTCTTAACGCTGATTTCATTGTGTCCCATACATTTAGGTATGTTGTGTGGTCATTTTCATTGAATTTTAGGAAGTCTTTAATTTCTTCCTTTATTTCTTCCTTGACTCATTGATGATTCAGATGAGCATTGTTTAATTTCCATGTGTTTATGGGCTTTCTGAAATTAGTATTGCTGTTGACTTCTAGTTTTAAACCATGGTGATCTGATAAGATACATCGGGTTATTCCATTTTTTTGTATTTGTTGAGGTTTGTTTTGTTGTTGAGTATGTGGTCAATTTTTGAGGAGGTTCCATGAGGTTCTTAGAAGAAGGTATATTCTTTCCTGTTTGGATGGAATGTTCTATAGATGTCTGTTAAGTCCATCTGAGTCATAACATCTGTTAGTTCCCATATTTCTCTGTTCATTTTTGTCTTATTGACCTGTCCAGTGGTGAGAGGGGAGTGTTGAAGTCTCCCACTATTAGTATGTGGGGGTTTAATGTATAATTTAAGCTTTAGAAGTGTTTCTTTTACATATGAGGGTGCCCTTGTATTTGGGGCATAGATGTTCCTCCTGATGGATTTTTCCTGTGACTAATATGAAATGTCCTTCTTTGTCTCTTTTGATTGATTTTAGCTTGAAGTCTATTTTGTTAGATATTAGGATAGTTACTCCTACTTTGTAAGAGTCTGCACTTTCCAATGGGGTGTGAATACGTGTCCACAGTTACGTGAACACTACTTGTTTCTTAGGTCCATTTGATTGGAATATGTTTTCCCAACCCTTTACAATGAGACGATGTCTGTCTTTGTGCTTGAAATGTGTTTCTTGTACGCAGAAGAAGAATGGATTCTGGTTTCGTATCCAGTCTGTTAGCCTATGCCTTTTTATAGGTAAGTTGAGTCGATTTATATTAAGGGATATTAATGACCAATGATTGCCATCTCCTGTTAATTTAGTTTTCATTGTTGGTGATGTTAACTTGTGCGTTTTCCCCTTCTTTGGGATTTGCTGCTATGAGACCATCAATTGTCTGTGTTTTTGTTGGTGTAGCCAACTTCTTTGGGTTGGCGTTTTTCTTCTAGTATTTTGTGTAGGGCTGGGTTTGTGGCTAGGTGTTGGTTAAATCTGGATTTGTCGTGGAATATTTTGTTTTGTCCTTCTATGGTGATTGAAAGTTTTTCTGGGTTTAGCCGTCTGGGCTGGCATCCATGGTCTCTTAATGTCTGTATAAGGTTTGACCATGACCTTCTGGCTTTCATTGTCTCCACTGAGAAGTCAGGTGTAATTCTGATAGGTCTACCTTTATATGTTACTTGGCCTTTTTCCTTTGCAGCTCTTAATATTCTTTCTTTACTCTGTATGTTTGATATTTTCATTATTATGTGGCAAGAGGACTTTTTTTTTGACCCAGTCTATTTGGTGTTCTGTAAACTTCTTGTATCTTCATAAGCATATCTTTTTTTAGGTTGGGAAAGTTTTATTCTATGATTTTGTTAAATATATTTCCTCTGCTTTTGGGTTGAACTTCTTCTCCTTCTTCTATACCTATTCTTCTTAGATTTGACCTTTTCATGGTGTCCCATATTTCCTGGATGTTTTGGGTTAAGCTTTTGTTAGATTTAGTGTTTTCTTTAACTGATGAATCTATTTCCTCTATTGTATCTTCACAGCTTGAGATTCTCTCTTCCATCTCTTACATTCTGCTGTTCATGCTTGCGTTTGTGCTTCCTCATCATTTTCTCATGACTTCTGTTTCTATAATTCCTTTGGCTTGTGTTTTCTGTATTGTCTCTATTTCAGTTTTCAAGTCTTGAATAGTTTCTTTCATACATTTGATTGCTTTTTCTTGGTTTTCTTTAAGTGATTTGCTGATGTCTTCCAATTTTTTGTTTGTCTTTTCCTCAATTTCTTTGAGAGAATTTCTCATTTCCTCTTTAAGAGTTTCAAACATTCTCCTGAAGTTATTTTTAGGTCATTTTCTTCTGTTTCATCTATATTTGGTTGTTCAAGTCTTGGAGTTGTAGGGTTTTTACTGGTGTTGTGTTGCTCTTTGTGGTGTTGCGTGTGTTCTTACCTTTTCCAGTTATCTTTTCCTCTAATAGGTGTGGTTGGGGCTGTCTGAGATTCTGTTGATTAATCTTCCAGGTGCCAGAGAATCCAAAGCTCAGATGGTTGTTCCTCATGGTGCAGTCAGTGCCACAGTTCTAGTTACCCTGTTATTTAGTCTGTGTTCCTGGAGATAGCTCAGCACTCCTGGGCTTTGCTCTGCTCCCTTGGAGTTCGCTATCTCAGGCCTATTTTGGCCTTTGACCCATTTTTGTAAATCCTGGTCTGGATCGACTTCTGCTGAGGTCCCTGGCTTGGAGTTGGTCCTGCAAAGGTCTCTGGCTCCAGTCTACTGCCTTGGAGTTTCAAGGCTCAGGTGTACCCAGAACCGCAAAGGACCTGACTCAGGCCTACTCCCTCTGAGGTCCCAGACTCACTCCTGGACCAGCAGAGATCTCTGGTTCCTGCCTATTCCCTTTGATGTATCAGATCAACGTCCAGACCCATAAAGGTACTGGCTCAAGCTTACTCCCTCTGAGGTCCCAGACTCATACATGGACCTGCAGAGATCTCTGGTTCCCGCCTACTCCCTTGGAGGTCCCAGATTCATGCCCAGCCTGGCAGAGGTCTGGCTCAGGCCTAGTTCCTCAGAAGTCCTAGACCCACACCCAGACCCACTGGGATCCTGGCTTAGGTCTACTCCCTTGAAGGTCCCAGATTCATGTCCGGACCCTCAGCACCCTCAGCAGTCTCTGGCTCTGGCTCACTCCCTCAGTGGTTACTCCCCTGTACCTGTTCAGGGGGAGTTCGCTGTGGCAGTCCTGCCTGGTCCACCAGAGTCCCGGGTCTCCCATGTCATTTCTACACCAACTTCCTAGAATAATTTATAGACTACAATCAAAATATAGCAATCTCAGGACTGTGGCTGTGGCATGCTTAGCAAAGTGCTTGCCTGGCTTGCAATAGGAGACCTGAGTTTGATCCACAGCACCACATAAACCAGGTGTGGTGGTGCATGCCGGTAAGTCCACTCTTCTGGAGGTAGAGTCGGGAGAATCAGAAGTTCAAGACCATCTTCTCTTCAATTACACAGAGAGCTCAAGGCTAGCCTGAGTCACATGAAACTCTGTCTCAATGAAGACAGCAACTGGATAAAAGTTTTGTGTTTTTATGAGTTAATTCTCATTTACACTTGGTGTCTAGTAATTCTTTTGTGGTGCTGGAACTGAAATCCACAGCCTTTCATGCACTAGGCAGGCACTCTACCACTGAACTACATCCTCAGGCCTTCGTTTCTCAGTTCATCAGCTTAGTCTTTGCTCCCCTCTGACAAAATCACCCTCCAAAGATGATAGCAGTGCCCACCCACTGAAGACGTGAAGATATTCAGGTTATATGGCAAGTGCGTGGAAGATCCTGGCTCCCCAAGTTAGTGCAATGTTGTTTTAACTTCATGAAAATATTTGATGACAATATCTTCAACCTGCCTGGGCAAACGAGCACTGTCCATTTGGAAGCCGCGCCCCCACCAAAACCAGACTCAGTCTAGATAGTGAGTGTTCACTCTTCTTTCAGATCAGCGCTGCCTGCTGAGTTGCTGGAGCCATTCCTTTTCCTTTGCTTTTCCTTCTTTCTTTTGTTTTTCTTTTGCCTTACATTTACCGACACTGTAAAACATATCTTGGGTAAATTCATCGATTAACTGTAAAAGTCAATGAAAATCAAGGCCTAGTCAGGACTTCCGGTGAAGAGAAGGAAGGGTTGGAAGAAAGATAAAGGAAGAGGGTTGGGGATCAGGGGCCACCACCTCTGAGCTACTTTGTTGTCGCTATGATCAAATGCCTTGAGGAAAGGAATTCAAAGAGTAGGCTGAAGAGGTGACTAAATGGTTAAGACTGCAAAGACTGCTCTTCCAGAGAACCTCAGTTTGGTTTTCAGCACCCATATTAGGTGGCTCACAACTACCAGGAACTTCAGCTTCAGGGGGTCCAACGCTTCTTCTGGTTTCTGAGGGCACTTAATACACACCTGGTATTCAATATATACGCACATAAATAAAATTTAAAGACAGAAAGGGTTTGTTTTAGCTCGCAGTTCAACAGCATAGTTTATCATTTCAAGGGAGGAAAGTCGTGGGGGCAGGATCTTGAGGCTGCTCAAGATCCACATTCAGGAAGCAGAGGTGCCGAGTGCTCACTAGTCAGCTCTCCTTCTCCTTGGCCCTTCAGCCTAAGACCCCAGCCCTCCGTATGGTCTTTCACACAGTTAAGACAGATCTTCCTGCTTTAACGAACCTACTCTGGACAGTCCCTCTCCGAAGCGCTCAGAGGCTGACCTAATCTAGATAATTCCTCAGGGACATGCCACTGGCCTTGTGTCGTAGGTGACTGCAGATCCTGTCAAGCTGACAAGTGACATTAAACAGGACATGGAGGGGGAAAAACCCAGAACATGGAGGAACTTACCAGAGCTCTTCCTACACAGTCAGCAGAGCTAGGGTTTGCTCCTTTTTCTCTTTTCCGAGTAAAAGTTCATTTTTATGCAGGGCCGACTGGGATATTCCACACCAGGTGGTGTGTGGCTTTTGCTATTTGTATGTCACAAGGTTGCCATTTAGGTTAGGTGAATTGGTTAAAAAGCACTGTTGTGTGATATCCCAACCCACCTTACACAAGGCCCTTTAAAGTCACTACACTATAAATGACTAAAGCCCAAACTCCTCTTTCCGGGCTAGGAATGTAAGTCGTGCAGCAACGTGCTTGCGTGGCATACTCGAAGCTCTGGATGTAAAATAAAATGGGTGTAAAAGATACACACTTATAATCCCAGCACTTTGGAGACTGAGGCAGGAGGACCAAAAGCTCAGGATCATCCCCACCAACGATGCAAAATTGAGGCCAGTGCCAGCCTGGGTTACATGAGATTGTCTCAAAATTATTTCCTCTGCCGATGCCTCCGCCAAGTGTGATTTGCCTGTATGCCGGGCATTCTCCAATTCTTTCATCAACAGCAGTCTTCGCCCAGCTAAGCCCATCTCCTTTTAGCTCTCCTCCACTACTGGGTCCCTGAAAAGACTTCCCCCCGATTCCACCCAAATCTCCATTTCCCTACAAAGTCTGCCTTCAAACTTCCAAGTTCAAAGCACAGTGATGGCTTTTGAGGAGAAAGTTCAGAGTTTGGAGCAGCTAAAACCAAATTAATTCCACATTATTTTTGGCGAGTGTGCTCCAAATGTTGGTGCCAGATGGACTTCTGGTATGCCAACATGGTAGACCTGGGTTAAAGCCCGTCAGTCTCTCCCAAAGGAACTAAGGCTGTTGGCCACTGCTTTGAGCCTCAGCGCACTAACATGGTATCGCTTCATCCATTTCTCTTGGCCACTGTCAGGTATGCGCTCATTCAACAGATAAGTACTGAATGCCAACTGAGGCAAGTTACTGCCCAGAGTGTGGGAAAGATAGCAATAGTGAAACATATCCTGACTCTCTAGGAGCGTTTTGTCTGCTAGGAAGGCCGGTCCAGTGGAGTGTGATTAAATGCTGGGAAAATGGAGGAGTAAGGACACCCAGGAAGAAGAGGCATTGGTGATAGGCCTTGGAGGAGGAGAAAATGTGAGGACCAGGTGTCTCAGCATGAAAGTATCAAGGGACGATGCTGAAGGACGCGCACCCGGAGGAGTAGGTCGCATCTGGCTAGGGAGGGCCTGGAGTGTCGCATTCCAGAGTGAAGCTTTATGGGTACTGGATTTTTGTGCAAAATTGTTTTCCAGGAAGCACTCAGGACTACTGAAAGAGAGGCAGAAATCAGCCGAAAGCTGTCCAGACAGTCTGAAACATTCTTTGTAACGAGCCAGTGGTACTCTGGGGACTGCACTTAAGGGCAAATGTTAAAAGGGAAGGGACAGTCTTTGCTTTCATCGGCTCACCTTCTTCCTTTCTCTTGTGCTGACACCTTCTCTTCTTCTCACTCTTGTGCTCACTCTGGCTGACCTAGCCCTCTGTCTTCCTGGGGGCCCTTGGCAAAAGAAGCTGCTGGGCTCTGGGTTTAGGCCCAAATGCTAAAAGAAAAATGTTGATGGAACAGGTTTCAACCTGAAGTGGGGATGGTGCACACCTATAATGCCAGTACATGGGAAGATGAGGCAGGAAGATCAGGAGTTTGAGGCTAGCCTGGGCTACATGAGAGGTTGTCTAGAAACAGAAATAGGATTTCCGATCTCACTTTTCTTTCTCATACGAACAGATGGACTTCACTCTGGCCATTGACAGCTGCAGACTCCAACCTCACTTGCAAGCCCAGTAATTATCCAAAGAGCTTTAGCGGGAGCTCAGTGACAGAATGCTTGCCTAAGCACAAGGCCCTGCGTCTGGCCCTCAGAACTGCTTTTAAAAAAGAGGGAAAGAAAAAGAAATTATTTTTAGAGACGGGAAGTAAAAGAAATGGCGTACTCCACAGGACCCAGAAACCCTACCAACTAAGTCTTATTAATTTTATTTTATTTTAGACAGGGTTTCATGTAATCCAGGCGGCCTCGACCTGTGCTTCAGCCTCTGGAGTGCTAGGATTACAGGCAAGGGTCACCACACCCTGTCTTCTTCTTATTTTTTTTAATGCAAACATCTAATGTTATGGAGACAGAGCAGAACTCTGAGTCAATTCTGGATAAGTCTGTACTATCAGCACAGAGAAATGTTTTTCCCCTTTTCTGCCGCAACGAAGTAAGCCAGGCTTTAAAAAACACACATCTGCGTGTCCATTTTAAACAGAGATAACATCCTTTGGGAGCCTTCCACTTCCTGGTCCCTCTTCTTCCCTTACTTAGTAAGATAAAATTCGCCCCCAGGAGTCTGATCCCTACAGAACCAGACTCAGAAAATGACATCATTCAGACTTGCCAGAGCACTGCACTTTTAAGGGGATTTCAGGATTTCCAGTCACTGTTTCAGCTTGTTAGTTTGAGGTTATTGTTGTTGTTTGGGATTCGTTTTATATTCTTTGACATTTTTATGTAAATGGAGCAATCAGACAACTATCCAAACGCACTTCTGCCTTCCTGAACACATTTGGCAGGGTGAGGCAGGGTGATATCGATAGAGACTAGAGTGTTTCTTCTTCCTTCTCTTGTTCCTAATGAGATGAGATTCCAGGAAAGTGGTAGCAAAAATCGAGTTCGAAACTAACTGCCTCTGTTTGTATGTACACAGGTTTTCTGTCACCAAGTGCCTCTTGGTACACTTTGTCAGTTCCCACTGACCAGAGAGCAAATCACGACCCCTGATAGGGCAGGCACACAGGGACACTAAGGTCACCCTACTTCCCTTCACCAGGGACCTCTTTTGTATGAAGGCTAATCAGGCAGTTCTGTAATCTGAAGCAGTTTTCAATTTAATGGTCCGAAACCCAGGAATAATTAAGACAATAAGAGTGCACACCCATTCAAGGCAGCGATCAATTGTGTATATCTTTGGGGAGGGAAAAGAACTCTTAAGATCCAAAGATAGAAGCTTCAGTGATTTACTAAGCCCCTCCTTGGCAGAAAGGAAAAATGTCCTAATTCATTCCTTTCTCTGGTGAGATCACGGTGCTGGGAAGATCACGGTGCTGGGAGAAATGTAGATTTAAAAATTCCCCTCAAGTTCGAAAGTTTTCAAGGAACTGTTTATTTAAATCATTCATAACTGAGTTTATAAAGCAAGATAGAAATTACCAAAGGACGCTATCATTTTAGTTTAATCTGATACTTATGTAGTTACCGTTCCTTTTAGCCTTTGCTTGAACTCTGAGGGTTGGGGGCCTTTATCAATAACACAGTAGAATCCTCCAGTTGTTTTCTTTCTGTTAAATCTGTAACTGTATCCTGACTTTCTCTCTCAAGACTTCTGAATATTTACAACCTAAGGAGAGTCCTGTTTCTCTAACTCAAGGCCTTTTTAACACACACGCACACGCACGCGCGCGCACACACACACACACACACACACACACACGAACCCCACATACCATAAAAAGCATTCCTATTTAAAATTAAAAATCCCAATGTCTAGAAACTTTCTTTGTAATTAAAAAAAAAGTTTCAATTCAATTTGATTCCCTAACATCCAAAGTCAATGAATGTTTCCAAAAAATATGCCCCTCAAATTATTTCAAACATCTTGACGAGCATATCTCCAGTTAAATGTTTCAACTCTAAGGCAGATTTATTTTTCTCAGCTGCACCCAAGACCATTGAAATTGCTGCTGCCACCTCTCCCTCCTCACCAGTTACAATTATTTATCAAGGTAATTTCTGACTGTTACTTGGAAAAAAATTGAAAGAAAAAAATTACATGTTATTTTCCAAAAAAAAAAAATAACTGCTTTAAACCAACATTTTGGAAGTGGAGGTGGGGGTTGGGGGTACATGGTGTGCATTTTCTTTCTGGGTCCTAGTTGCCCCATGAGAAGTGTTTGACTCCCCTATTGGAAGCTTGCTAGCATTCTAGTTTGTGAACTGTGCTCCCCTTTTATGCCCAAAATGACCTTCAGGCTACTTTTTAAGGTGATTTTTATCACACTCAGTCAGGAAGGGCCTAATAGGTGAGAAGCCATTTTCAGAGCAGGGCTTGCTACAGATGTCCTAAGAAAATCCTTGAGACACCATCTTTGAAAAAATATTTGAAGATTGTTCACTCGAGTAAATACTTAAGCCTGCCCTCCCTGGCTTTCTTGGGCCTGTAGCCATATTACTCAGCCTCAAAGAATTCATCAATATTCAACTGGCTCTCTTAATATGCTGATGTAGCAAAAGGAGTTTAATAAAGAAAGCTGTTGCCATTTTTCTTCAGAGAACCTGTCACAAATTCATCTTTCATCTTCCAGCGCTGGAATCTTCTGATATTTATGTAGGAAAATTAATGTTTATGTGCAGTAATCCAAACAAACGGACCCACCAAGCCGAACCTTAAAAGCCCAAAGAAAGCCTCTCACCCCCAGGACTCGGGAACTGTATGAATGATCTTGCCGAGGACTTAGACGAGTGTTCGGTCACGTCTGACAAGCCGGCAAACTTTCAGTCCTGTCCACGAGTTATGAAGATATTCATAGAAAAAAATTGTAAGTCCTACTAGTAGTGTTAAGTGCCCACCGAAACTATACACGTTATTCGTCGTGTTGAAAAAAAAATCCTGAAAAGAAAGTCTTGGTCTACAAAAATCTTTTTGGCTAATTTTTCTCGGCAGTTTTGCAGACCCTGGAAGACTCTACCGTCCTGCCCTCTCGCCCCCCCCCACAAAAAAACCGAAAATAAGTCCAAATCATCAGAATAAGGCCACGCGATTCTAGCAACGCCTTGAGACTTTGCAATCGTCCTCACAAAACTCAGTTTTCAGATCAGCCCTGAAGAAATATCGCAGTAAAATACAGAAGTACAGAGAAACTTAAGCAGAGCAAGAAGCGGCAGCGCTGAGCACCGCGGAATTCGTGATTTTAGTATCCATCTGCTGTTTTCGCGCCTGCGAGCGTGTTTACCCGTTTTACGATTGCTTTTCGCCCCTTTCTTTTGACACCTGGTGGGTTTTGTTGTAGTTGTTCCAGCTCACGCCTGCGGTTCCAAACTATCCTCACTCGTTCTACCCTCAGCGACAAAACTTAGGCTGTACTCTGGGAGCTAGCATGGAGGACCCCGCGGCCGCACCGCAGCGATCAGAGTGACACTCAACTGCTGGCGTTTCACGGACGTCCGGATGTTTTCGGTAGTCGATGGCGCCCCAGAACCCACTAAGTCCCAGACCAGACAAGAGGTGGCTGGAGTGGAGGTTTAGTCAAGAGCTGCCAACCAGGACAAGGGCCTCTCCCTCGGAGTCCCCAAGCAAACGCGCTAAGTAGTTCCTGTGTAGCGCCTTGCGCCCAGCACTCCACCTGCCCCTGTGGCCCCTTCTGGTCATCTTCTGGAGCCCCCCAGATATGTGGTTGCTACAGGCCAGAGATACCCGTTGCCCTTCCCGTTCAAAGCCATCTGAGTACATCCCGCTCGCTCAAAGATTTGTCCAACCCGGGAAAGGGGTAAAGAAAGCAGAGTTTATGTTTAGCATTCAGGTGCTATTTTATAAGGGATTTCTCCCAGATTTTTTAAATTATTTTTAAATATTTATTTATTTATTTATTTATTTGTGTGTGTGTGTGTGTGTGTGTGTGTGTGTGTGTGGCAGTCTCTCACATAGCTCAAACTGTCCTCGAACTTGTTATGTAGCCAAGGACACCCTTAAAATTCTGTTTCTCCTGCTCCACCTCCCGAGTGCTGGGATCTCAGGCATGCACCACCATGTTTGGCTTCTTCAGATTTGTGTTGTTAGGACATTTTGCAAATATACAAGAAAGTCGCGAATATAGTACAATGAAAGGCTATTTACTTCCCACCCAGAAGCAACATCATCTGTTAGTTCGTGGCAATGTACCCCCCCTCGAATGTGTGTAGTGTGTGTGTGTATGTGTGTGTGTGTGTGTGTGTGTGTGTGTGTCGGCGACATCATTTGAAAATCGCGGCCATCGTTACACTTCATCTCTCTCACTTTGGCACAGACCTTGTCAGAATGTGGACACCCTACTATTAAGTTCAATACCATTCTCTCACCTCCCTAGTAAACAGCGTCGTCTAAGGCTAGCTAGCATACAGAAGAAAGACTCCTTTTCTTTCCTCACCCAAGACTCAAAACTTGTCATGAAGACTTCCCTTCTTGGGCTCGACATATATATAAACTGTTGTTCCCCGTCTCGGTGTCATGCTTACCTACCACCTCCAGAGTGGACCGCCAGGACCTAAGGGAGTCCTCTACCTGAGGGAGAGTTTGGCAGAGTGGTCAGAGCACAGAAGATCCAACAGATCTGGGACACGAATGCGCCCTGAGCACCCCACTCCTGCAGTCTGAGGGTCCCTTATTTCCCCCATCCCATTTCAGGCACACGCACACCCCCAAGAAAAACAATCCCAAGAGGTTTTGCTTAGCCACTCTGTGCCCTGCTGGCAGCCCGGAGGACTAGTGAGAGCAGAGTGGCATTTGTGTTCTGGGTCTTTGAGCGGTCTTTGAGCTGGAGCTGAGCTACCTTGTGTCCTTGGTTTTGCTCTTTTTCCCCCTTTCCCCTTTCTCCTTTTTTTTCCCCCCTCTCCCAGAACCCGAGGCTATGAGGCTCTGGACGTGGCCACTACAGGCTCCCCACGTCCTTCCCAGTCCTTCCTGGCTTCAGGCCAAGGCTCTGGCGCTGAGCGCCCGCACGGCCTCACCCCCCCCCCCCCGCCCCCGGCCTCGGAACAGAGCGGGCGAATCGCTGGGCGGGGCGCGGAGCAGCGCCTGGCCACACCCCCCCGTGCCGGCTTTTTCTAGGGCTGCGGCGAGCCACTGGGCGCTGGCTGCTCCCGCTCGCCTCTTGGGGTGCGCTCAGCTCCAGCCCGACTCCAGCCCGACTCCAGCCCGACTCCAGCCCGACTCCAGCCCGGCTCCAGCCCGGCTCCAGCTCTGCTCCGGCTCTGCTCCAGCCCTGCTCCAGCCTGGCTCCCGTTCTCCGCCGCCACGCCTCTCTGTGAGCTCCGCACCTCGACTCCCAGCTCCCAACTTTCCGTCCCTCTGTCTCTCAGCGTCCCGCACCCCCGTGACCTCGCGCCCTCCCAAGACCCTGTGCCCGATCTTCTACCCCCCTCAACCCCGCCACAGTCCTCCGCCCTTTCTCTCGCTCCTCATCTGCCCGGACGTCAGTCGGTCTGTCTGTCCGCCTCCCCACCCTCCTTTTCCTTCCTCTGTCCCGCTTCGCTGGTTTGTTCACTAGTTCGACTTGGCGGAGCAGCTTCGCAGGAAAATCCCAGAAACCATTGCAAAAAGCTTACAATGAAATTTAAGAAGTTCTACGATTTCGGCGCCATTTTCGAGTGGAGTGAGAGGTGACTTGCGATCTAAAAAAACAGGGAGGGGAGGGGACTTTTAGGCTGACCTTTCCCGCCCCCCCCCCCAACTATGAGGCTAATCACTTCAGACTGTTACAGATGCGGGGATAATTCCGAAAAAAAAAGTTCTGTGTTGCGCTGAGTGGAGGGTGGGGGTGGGAAGCGTGTTGGGGGGGGGGGGTGGGTGGGGGGAGAGGACAGAGTTTTAAAGTGTCTAGCAAATGAGTGTGCCCCGAGAACACAGAAAATAATCTGAGAAGAGTGAACAGGGAAGAGCAGAGAGAGAAAAGTGAGTGAGGGGCAGTGGTCGGCTGTCAGCCTCGCCAGGGTGGGGAGCGACTGGTTTTGACAGAGTGTAAATGAACTTTAGGCGACTCTCATCTGTAAGCAGTAAAGACTGTCCTGGAAAGAAACGTAAAATTCATTTTACATTGTCTCTCGCTAACTAAAACTTTTCAAGGTTGTTTAGCTCTTCCAGTACGAAACTCGACGTTGGAAAAGTTTGGCTCGAAGGTGCGGAGGACGTGTACACCGTGCGTTTTGGGTGTGGGGACGCAAGGCATCTGCAAAAGACAGACGTTCTCAACTGTGAAGAGAGGAAGAGGCGTAGTCTTTGGCTCTTAAATCATTTGGCCAAACACGTCGCAGTTCTGAAAGGGGTGGGGCCAGGGCAACTCCAAAGTATTGATTCTTTGTCTATTCTATCAGCGTATGACCCTCTCCAGAAGTGACCAGACGCCTCTTTGTGTTCTCCTTTCGTAAGTAAAGTTCAACCCAAGAGGAAATACGTAAGCCAGGGGAGTGAGAAGACTTTTAAGGGATTTAAGTCGTTGTAGGGTTACTGGAAGAAAAGAAATCGGTGAGGTAAAATATATAGATGAATTTGGTTCCGGTGTGTTCGTTAACAAAATGATCTAGAAGGACACTGATGGTACTTCTAATGAACTTACTTTTTTTTTTTTAAAGTAATCAACTAAGGAAATGTTGAATTAGGATTGGCTTTAATCTATTATGTGATGACTCACATTTGTGGGGGTACATAAAATTAAATTGGGGGAAAGTTATGTATCTTTAAAGTATAATTGTAACTTTACTAAACATGTTTTTTTCTCTCTTTCCCTCTCTCTTTTTAAGGGCGACCATCAACGGTTTTTTTCTCCATTATTCCGTGTCCATGTAAAAATGATTTGTAATATAACCAAGACAAGATGGAATTTAGAAACTCCAACTTAAGGAGTGGGGCTATTATTATTAATGGCTTTATTTATCATGAACTCATGGCTTTATTATTAGTGCATTTGTTAGCACTGGATCACAATCTGTTGTGTTAGGCATTTTGTACTTAGTTTAATTACATACTCTGTATATTTAATTAATCAATTAGTTAATAGGACCCAGCATTCATTGTACTAGTTTTGAATAACGGACATAATTTTAAATGAAAATAACGGAAGTTTGGCTAGCTTAAATCTCTGTTTATGTATATAGGATACTTTCAAAGGCAGTATAGTTTTATTGTTTTAATTATTAGGCCTGTGGCTAAGGACCGAAGGAATTTTGTGTGTGCTTGTTTTGTTTAAACAAAAGGAAATGAATGACTGGAACTTACTGCTCATGTGTCCATTTTGAGAGTCAAGAACGGGAGCGTGCACAGTGCCGGCCATTTCAAGACAAGGGTTTCTGTGGAGTTGCTCGAGAAGGAACCATTTGACATCAAGTATTTAAAGTTCTTGATTTGTGGTTTGATAAGTGACATTGACAAATGTAAAGTATTTGTGAATAAGTTTGAATAACCTGCAATGTGTGAAAACATCCAGGGGTTTCATCTATAGAACATTCTCATGTTTAAAATCAACTACTGACAAGGTGTTTACTGTAAGAGTGGAGGAAACTATTAGACGTGAGTTAAAAACCAACTGTAGCTACCCACAGGGGTTTTTTTTTAATCAAAAGTTCCTTGCATAAATTTCCAATAAATGACCCAAAACTGGGGACAATAAATGGGACTTAGACAAGGCAGCAGGAAGTTTCACCAAGACTTTGGAGCTGGCAAGAGTGATCCAGATGTTACCAAATTGTCTCAATTTATTTAATCTCATTTTTCATCTCCTTTCTGAGGTAAGAGTTACCCCCCACCCCATTATCCACCAATACACTTTTCCAATATTCATGGTAAGGGTGTGTAAAAGCCACACCCTTCACCTCTCCTGAAGCAAGCAAAGTTCTAAGAAGTGCTAGCTTATGAAAAGTCTGTCAACCTGGAGTGATATGTCCTAAGCAGCATACATTGTACTTAATCCTCACCAGGGAGCAGGGCAAGGAGGGGCTCCTTCTACTCACAGAGACTTTCTTCATCCGCAGGTACCCCAGTGCGACCCCCACCCTCGTTGGCTCCGAAGGGATGCAGCAGCAATTCATGTTTTGGAGTATTGCCAAGGTTCAAAACATGAAGCGCTGCACCACCCCTTCGCGGGAAAAGTAGAAGGTGGGGGCCAGCAAAGCAGACTCCTAAAAGCCCCAAAGCAGGTAGGTGGGAGGGCAGGGGCTTGCGGTCCATCCTTCCCCTGATCAGGGCCTTAGTCTAGTGAGGGCCACTCTGCACTGTTCAAGGGCCTGGGAGGGGGTGACGGCCAAGCAAGCTGGGCATGCGCTTGGAGGAGGGACAAGGTATCCTGCACTCAGCCCACCACACTCAGTCGTGCCCTAGCAGCGGGAACAGTACTGCAGTGAGTGTTTGGTGCCCTGGAGTATTGTTTCCGCTGCCCGGGTAAGTCTGGGACTTGCACATGGGCACGCCCACCCACCAGGTAAGTTTCTGTCTGTCGCCTGCAGCTTTGGCCCCAATGGGAGCGAGGCACCAGAACAGCTCCAGACTAGAGGTTTTGTGTTTGTTGTCCGCGAAGCACTTGCCCCTCTGTGATTATGTGACTGGGTGTGACAGAAACTGTTGTTAGCACCTCATTCCCTGCCCAGGTAAAACTGAACCGACTGGAAAGCAAGCACTTCCCGACAACCTAGTAGAATACCACCCCCAGGACAGCAATGAAGAAAGTCTGCCTTCAGTCCTCAACAACAAAATGGGGGAGGGCTTTCCCGAAAAGGAATAAGAAGGGGGTGCAAAGATGGTCAGGAAGGGTGACTTGAAGCAATCCCTATTTCTCTCTGCAGTTTCTACCGATAGAGCTTAGGCCCCATGTAGAAAGGACTTTAGAGGTCAAGAAAGAATAAGGGTCCCACAGCTGTGCTGGGGAGGGCAGCATCCGTGGATCTCAGGCATAAACAAAAACAAACAAACAAACAAAAAAAACATACCTAGAGGCACATGGCCTTGCTGGTGGTGAACCTAGTGAGGAGCAGAGACCTAACAGGAAGCCTCAGAGTGAGGCTTCACGTTTCTAGATAGCTTTTTCCACCCCCCTCCACCCCCACCCCCACCCCCGTTTCCCAAAGTCGTCACACAAGCCTACTCTGACAGCAGGGACTCAAGGACACCCTTGCCCTCAGAAGCGCTGAGAAAATAGCAAGCAGCATCAGTGCTGTATATTCCAAGTCCCTTTGTGACCCCCCCCCCCAAACTCTGTGTGCTGTGACTAATGATCAGGGCACCTCTGTAGCCCACTCCCATGCCACCTCCACTCCCTTGAGGAGCCCTCTGAGCCTGCAATGAGAAAGGGGGATCAGAGTCACCTGGGAACTGGAGAAGAGTGTGAATTACCTGAGCAAGGCCTTACTGTTCCTGTGAACATCACTTTATATAACCTAGAGCACGGGCATGTAGAGGACTATTGGAAAATGTAGTGGGAGTGGAATCTCTGCTTTGTCATCTTAAAAAAATAATAAAATACGCATACACACACCCTTCTGGTCTCTATGAGCTACCTTGTAGTGGTCTTCCCCAGGGACTGGGCACAGGGCCCCATAAAATTTACAGTTAGAGGAGGCCTTGTCCACCTGGGAGTCTAGCTCTAGCCACCGAATGCCTTTTTCCCAGACTCCCTTGCGCTTGAGCATTGTGTGGGAGGTGGTTTAGGTTCCTTTGGGCCCCCAAGGACCCCCGGGCTCCCAGGAGCACCAAGAGCCCTTGGGACTTCGGCCAATCCCGGTCCCCATAACTCCCTCCATTTGTTGAAGCCACGCCCCCAGCTCCTACCCCACCCCGCCCCATGGCTGGGCCCCTCTGTCCCGGAATCCCCAGGGCAAATGGCTAACAGGTTCGGACTCCCGCATTCCGCCACATTGGGTTGGAGGAGGGGCACTTTGCGACTCCTTACTCTCCCTCACCAGCTTCCCTTTTCCCTTTCTGCTGTCCAACAGGCTTATCCCTTAAGCCAGAGGAAGAGCACAGGGGTGCACTGAAGGTGCCCACCCATCCAAAAGAATCTGGCCCGCGTCATCCGGCTCCTTCCAGCGGGTGTCCGCAGGACTCAGGTGAGATATAGGCGGATTAGTGGTTTAAAATGGCAGAGAGCAGGGGAACAAATGATCCGATTTAGGGCCATTGCCTTCCAAAATCTAAGATGTCCTTTGCCCAAGGTGCCCAAGGATGCCAAAACTGAGGTCATTTGCATAGCGCCTGGCTGCGTGGTGCCCTTTTCTGGTTTGAAATGTTCTTCACACCTTTATTTGCTCAGTTGTGGAGAGCCTAGATTTTCTTCCAAGGGCAAAAATGTGAATAAAGCAATGTTTTAGCCAAACACTTCCATGTCAATTAAGAAGATGGCAATTCGTTCCGGACTATAAATTCTCTTTAACCACTCCCGAAGGTATTCTTTTCAATTGTTTTTTTTTCAAGCATTGCTAAATGCGCATCATAATGCGGGAGACTTGTCTAAAGTGATTCAATTTACAGTCGGCTGATTAATTGATCCTCCATCACCACATTCAAAGAGACACCTCTCCATTGTTTTCTCATTTTTTTTTTTACCCAACACATGTTATTTGTTAGTGAGGAAGCTGTGTGCACGTGGCATTGTATAAAGTTTATTAGGCAGACATGGCTCTTAAAACTATAAAAGGCTTAGCCTGACTCTAACTCTAAACTTCGACATTTCTGTAAGCGGTAGGACATGGCATTCAGGTTATTATGATATACTAGCATGAAACATAATTTTGCAACAATTTTCATAACAGGAATAATTCCAAAGGCATCTTCAGTTAGCAGTACTGGTTTTGTTTTGTTTCCTTTTTTTTTTTCTTCCAACAACGGAACACTACATCAACAGTCTCAGGGATGTGGACCCAGAAGACTTCTGTTTTAAGAAAGTACAATCATCTTTCAAATGCTGTAATTTATATGCATTTTACTGCACCAGCTATTGAAAACCACCCAACTAGGGGGTTAAAATATAATCAATCACTAGTGTAATAGTATACGTCTTTTAAAAATGTTACTGGAAAGTGTTTTATGATCTGTAAGTCAAAGGATCCGGTCCCACCATTTCATTCTTCCTGCTTTCTCCCCCAACCTAGGCTCCCCCCCAAATTTGTTCCAGTTGGCATGTAAACTTGTTTTCTCACCAAATGAGTCAAGTCATGATAGGAGCGTCAATCGATTTGAGCAGATGTGTGTCAGTGTTACTTGGAAAAACTAGATGCCAATAACCAGGGCCACAGAAAAAGGCAGTAGGTGTAACTCTGTAAAGCAGACAAGGACAAAAGTAGAATCCTAAACAGGAAAACATTTGGCTATACTCCAGTGCTGGGAGACTAAATAATTGTATGTTGCTTTTGATTTCCATTAACTTGGGCAACTATCCAATTAAACAAAAACCCAAGAAGGACTCAGCAGTGCACATTATTTTACTGAGTATTCTAAAACACCATAATCTGTCAATCCATCGAGGAAGTGAGAACAACAAGGGATCGGGTTTGCTCCTCGAATCTTGGAGAAAACGTGATTCTACAGGAAGTGAATTGACAGGCAGCTTTCCCTTCAGACCATGTAGCATGAAAAATACAAATAGATTCAAAAAGTATACTCGAGGAAGATCAATGAATGTGTATTGATGGAGACTGAAGGACTTGAGCTGGGGACTATATCAAGCTGACATTAATTTCTAGAGATCTATTTTCCCATTGGCCAGAAGCACGTCTCGTGATCCCGGAAGTTTATTTGTTCATCTTTATTTAGAGTTATTGCATAACTCTTAAAGGAAACACAATATGTATACACAAATCATATCAAATATATATCTCCCTGGCTCAGTACGGCCTGGCCTGACTATGCCCACCCATTAGTATCTGTTCACCTAGCTAGGATCCCCTCGCTCCGTCCTAACATTTCACCCATCTGCTTCCCTTCCTGGCTTCACAATTGATCTCCTCCTCAAGTTCAAAAGGCCTTAGAGCCCAGTGGGGACCTTAAGCTGCGTCATTAGGGAGGAGCCTCTACAGACTTCCACTTCCTGTGGTTCCCTCAGCCTTAGATCACTCCCCTTAAGCGTCTGGTGGAAACTGAAGAAGGGGCCCTGGCCCCAAGTCAGGGGGCTGGGAATACTGCTTGCTTTGCAGCCTGAATTTCCTGAGGCACTGCCCTGGCCAGGCGTTTGCTGCCCCTCCCCCACCTCCTCTCTGTGGCGAGAAAGCCAGCTTTTTGTGCCCTAGAAACAAACTCTTTGCAATCCTCATCTCAGCACTTGCCCTTATTTCCTTTGCTCACCTACTTTCCCACCTGCTCTCCTAGATGCGTTGTTTGCAACAACTTTGAGATAAGAAACCCGGGGATGCTGAAGATGCGGGATGTATGGGAGCCTAGCAACTGAGGCCTCAGCATCCAGACTTCCTGCTGCGCCAGGTAATGTCCCTACCTGATCATCAGAAACCTACACCACAGTGACTACAACAGAAAAAGAAGTGAACTTGTGTGTTCTAGTGGAAACGGCCTAGTGCCAAGACGAGGGAGAGCCCAACTGAGGCC